TCATATAATTATGTCGCGGAGTTTAGTCTACTTTTATATAAAACAGAAAATGTGTTGCTGTGCCAGTCCCCTCTTACGACTTTTCCTTTTAAAAAATTCCCGGGTCAAACCGTACAGATAAACCGAACCGAAACTTTCGGTTAACCGAAGCCGAAGGACAAACCGAACCGAAAATCTTCGGTTTTTCGGTTCGGTTCGGTTTGAAACCGACAACCCTACTCACAAACAATATTGAGAAATCTAAATGAAAAATATTAACAAACATTTTATCACCTTATTTGTTAAGAATTGATAATAAAATAGGCAAGACGTTTATTTTTTGTCTAAAATTTGAATATGGACAATTAACGTGGCGTTTTTCACATTATTAACAAAGTGATTAAAATTGATGTGAATAGTTGGATTAAAGCAAACATGTCGTGTTGTTAGAAATAAACTTCCTCTTTAATTTTGAAGGAACTGCGTCTACCAAAGCGCCCGTTGTCTCTTGCTTAAGCGTCTCTGGCTGACGTCTGAGTCTCTGACTGACGTCTCTCTCTGACCATTTTGAGCCTACGAATAAGTGGGATGAATGAGTAACCGTGTTCGTGTGACTCTCCCTCATTTAAAATTTCAAACCAACAACTATCACATCTAAAAACCGAACCGTCTTTCATACAAACACAACCTCAAACGTCAAAGTTTTCAGTTTTTATATTTAAACAATACTAACAAACAAAGTAATAAAATGTTGGTGAATATAATTGGTTATTAAACAAACGTGTAAATAATGTTAGAAATAAACTTCCTTGTTAATTTTGAAGGAGGGTTGGTTGAAAAATATTTACATTGAAAATGAAACATTTACGGACGTGTGACACGTAGCTTTATTCCCAATCAACAACTTTTTTTAAGAATAATATGACGTCGACTGTATATATAAAAGCCCTCGTATTCTGTCAGAAGATAACAGTCTTTAAAAATAATTCTTTAATAATAACTACTCCAAAAATGAAGGTAAATACTTTCTGCTCTAATCCTAATTCTATAAGAAATTTAAGTTGATACTGTTGGTTTTTATTCAAATGTGCTTAATCGCGTTGGTATTTTCTGATGCCAAACGACGTATGATTTTAATCTCAAAGGGTTTCCAATAATTTATTACTTATAGCCATAAAGATAAAATGTGGTAAGGGCTATAAAGAATGTCCACCTGGATATATATGCGAGTATGAGGTGTGTGTCAAGATCGTTCCACCTATTACGACTACTACAAAGAAGCCAACCCCGCCAAAACCAAGCATACCAATTATTTTAAAATTTAAATAACATTCGTTTTCAGCACAATGTTGTTGGTTTGGAAATCGCTTTGCTAACTGTTACTGGTGTTTATATCCATCAGAATGTTACTTGGGTAAATATTGCCGTATCCCTCCAACACCACCACCAACAACAACACCCAAACCACCACCTTGTAAGAATGATTATCAATGTCCACCTGGATATAAGTGCGATTATAGAGTTTGCATTTCTATCCCTACGACAACAGTAACGCCAACCACACCCAAACCAAGCAAGCCAATATCTTTAAATCTAAAATAATTTTCTTTTTTCAGCAAAATGTTGTTGGTATGGAAATCGCGGGTCAAACTGTTACCAATGTTACCCACCATACGTTTGCTACAAGGGTCAATACTGTCAGTATGTTCCTATAACAACACCTACACCAACCCCACCAACTACGCCACCAACTACACCACCAACTACAACAACCCCACCACCAACAACACTTCAACCTTGTAATGACTATAATAAAAAGTGTCCTAAAGGATATAAATGCAACGACTATAATGTCTGTATTAAGGTGTATTGAAGAAATTATTTAAAGAAAGTGAAGTGAGATAAATAACAAACGATTTATAAATATAATTAAATGCATTATAAAATAATTGTTAATGAAATGAATGCATAAAGTATACTGATTATTAAATTCTGATTTTTATCGAAATTATTTTGGATATTATTTCGCTTTTTTGATTGTAATTTTAGGATAACCATAAATTACATAGATAGTAATATCGGTATCTCTCCAACAGTATCCCTCCAACACCAACAACAACAACAATTAACCCTCGTCCTTTATGCGAATTGACTTTCTTTAATATGAATAGTTCATTCTTTATTGCAAAAGCGCGGATCTGATTATAACCTCAACACAACAATGCTAGGATAGGGATGATTGTATTGACTATAAACATAACTACAATTACTCTTTAGGTACTTAAACGTATTATTGTTTAGATGAGATCATGAATTTGTAAACTGCCGCTCTTAAACTCGAGAATGTCTCAATTGGGCTTTGTTATAAGAAAATCTAAAATAAGTGATAGTTTTACCAATATATCACATAATTTATTCTTATGTATACCACCAAATTTTCATTTGGCAACTTCAATATACTATGCGTAAATCTCACATCTGATGATTATTCATCGAATTTTCTGATAGGGTACACTCGAAAATTAATTACAGATATCCGAAACAAATGTTCTGTAAGATCCGAACCGACATCCCTAATATATTCTACGTTTACTTATGAGCGAGCCACTCTTTTACAAACGAGAGAATGTATATAAAAGTGATGTGACATTTGACTATACTTCTTTTGCATTTTAAAATACGATAGAGCCCATCACTCTTAAGAATTTTTGCAAAGGATCTGGACGTAGATCCACGTACAGTATTTCTCTAATGAGTCCCGATCTTAATTCTTTGATCGAATATCATGTACATGTATGTGGCATTAAGGGATCAAGTGGGATATCGGTAGATGTAATATAGATGGATATAAGCGGATTTTAATGGATTAGAGTGAATCAAACAAATAATTTCTTAATAATCATATTATTATAGTAAAGCAGCTTTTCTAAAGCTATTTCTCTCCTTCAGCTAGTGAAAAAAGTTTATTCGGCGACTGACCGGCATCTTTAGTAGACCAGACTGATGTGCTAACAAGACTAATGTGCTAACCAATACACCACACCGCCTACTGCACAGGCTTAGGAATCTTTACATTATCAAAATAATTTTATTTAATTTGCTTTAATTTTTTTGATTTTAACTTTATTGTTAGTCGAGTTACCATTTTAAAACTATACAAATAATTTTAAACCACGAAGCAAGTTAACCACAAAATAGGAAACAATTTAATTTCATTTTATTATTTATCAAGTTGCTAACAAACAAGATAATAAAGTGATAGGAGTATTAGTAATAAACAAACAAACAAAAATAAATTTCTCCTCAACCAATTTATTAAAATTTGGATTGTGTGTGATTTAACAATAGTCGGAGACGTGGTTTATTATGAAATCACGTCGATTTACTAAAATAGCATTCAAAATATTTTTTAAATTGAGGAAATTTTCCGACTGATGCCACGCTTTTATTAGTCGCCTGATTACCATTTAAAGAGATAACGTTAATAGAAACAATAATGAGTGAATATAAAAAGCAAAGGAATTCTGACGAAGAAAATCAGTCTTGAAAAATAATTCATTAATAATAACTACTCCAAAAATGAAGGTAAACATTACTAGAGATGTCCAAGACCGAAAATTTTCCCAGATTCAAGACCAATACTTGACCATAAGACACAAGAATGAACCTCAAGATCCAAGATTTGACCACAAAACTCAATACCATGACTGACCCCATGACTCAAGCCCATGTCTCAAGAGTTGACCTCCAAGCCCCTATTAAACCCAAGATGATTCTTGAGACAAGAAACAAGAGGAAAAAGTCTTGGACGTCTCCGAAAATACTGTCTCCCTTAATCTTAAATTTTATAAAAAATTTAAGTTGATACTGTTGGTTTTTATTCAAATGTGCTTAATCGTTGAGGTATTATCTGATGCCAAACGACGTATGAGTTTGACTTCCACTAATTTTATCAAATTTTTTATTTAAAGCCGGACCGCCACCGTGTGATAAATACAACCCTTGCCTACCTGGATATAAGTGCGAGTATGGGGTATGTGTCCGAGACATACCCACTACTACAAAGAAGCCTACGCCGAAGCCTACTACGCCTAAAAAAAGCAAACTGATACCTTTAAATTCAAAATAACTTGTTTTTCAGAACCATGTTGTTATAGTGGAAACCGTCGTTCAAACTGTTACTCTTGTCCTCTTTATTTCACTTGTTACAAGGGCCTATATTGTCAATATGTACCTCCACCAACTACAACAAAGAAGCCGACAACAACACCAAAACAACCTAAGCCTTGTAATAAGTATACCCGCTGTCCCCCTGGATATAAGTGCGAGTATGGGATTTGTCGTCCAATCCCTACGACTACTACAACGAAGAAACCAACCCCGCCCAAACCAAGCAAGCCAATACCTTTAAATCTAAAATAATTTTCCTTTTTTCAGGACAATGTTGTTGGGTTGGAAATCGCGGGACAAACTGTTTCTACTGTTTCCCACCATTCGTATGTATTCAGGGTAAATACTGTAAGTATGTGCCTCCACTTCCAACGAAGAAACCTACAACCACAAAGAAACCACCAACTACACCCAAACCTCCGACAACTTGTAATGATTATAAAAATTGTCCACCTGGATATATATGCGAGTATAAGATATGTGTTCCGAAATATTGAAAATTTATTGAATGAAGCGATATTTACATATATTAAGATGTTAAAATTGAGAGCTTTTGTAATGAAGCTTAATTATAATATTGCATAAAATAATTTTATATAAATATAATGGTGATATTTCGAATTAAGGATATATAACAGGGCTGGGCGAAATATAAAAATAAAAAGCGAAATGCGAAACTTTTCGCGCCAAAAAATGCGAGAATGCGAAAGATGCGAAACACGATAGTGCGAAATAAGCCCAGCCCTGACATTACATTCCCGAACTTAATTTGTTATCACCATCCCATTGGGAAAAGTATACCGCATATAGTAAGATTCATTCTGATGGATCAATGATAGTAAGATTATAGCCAAGTCGCAGAAAATCGAAAAAATCGTAAAATTGTATATAATCTTTTAGAATTATCCTTACTAGGACCAAATTTCTATTGGAACTTAACAAAATTTTCTTAATGCTTGGAACAACATACCCGTACTTTAAGCATCCTTCCCCGTCGTTATAAAACTTTCCCGTTGACGTAAAAACTTCCCCAATCAATTTTCCCAACTGAACAACACTTTACTCTTTGATGTTGATGAAACTACAGTTGCCGTCATTTGAACAAATATTTTTGTTGTGCCTGTTGTTGGAACAACTATCTATTATATTTTCGTTTGTAGACTGATATCCCACTTTATTCCTCGATATTTTAAATTCCTCATAATCTCTCATAATACCGACAAATCCATCGTTATCCCTCTTACTTTAAATTACAATGTATTTCCCATAATCTTAGATATATTCCACCTTCGCCTACTTTGTACACATTCTATAGAGAATAAACATTTATTTTTGTGCCAGCTAAATTGTTAAATTTCTTATCCGAAAGATATTTTCAATAAAATCACAAACAAATTAATCTCTTTTGGATTTATTTTTTTAACATCTTTTAAAATACTTCCAACGTTCTTTTACAATACTTCCAACGTTTGGGAGATAGGATAGCAAAAATTAAATAAGCACATATATCCAGGTGGACATATAAATTCAAAAACACATGCTATAATAACAGAATTTTAGTGAATATAATTTTCTATAAAATTTGGGAGGGCGGGGGGGAGGGGGGCAGGCCAAGGTACCGCAATAAAATGTACCGCAGAGTTATAATTTTATTAAAAATTGGCGAATCCGTGATGCAATGGAATGGCTCGATGCAACTCGATAAGTTGAATCGACAATACGAGGGCGTTGTTCCGGATTCGACAATTCAGAAAATAATTTGTAGCTTTTCGTAACTTGGGGTGTACCCAAATTTTGGTAATAACACTCGTACAATAAACGCCCGTACTTTTTGATGACCCCACTCCTCCCTCATTATTTCGAGTATCAGTATTTCTTCCTCATCATTTTTGGTCATACTTATGGTTCAAGAATAACGTTTTTTAGCCTTACATTTCACACACAATGAACGAGGAAATAATTGATTGGCACGAAGAATGAAAGAGTAACTGTGATCAAACTAGGGGAAGAATATCGTTAAGGTGGTGGAGGGGTTAAGGTAGGGACCTCCCCACTCTCCTTCGGTTCGGGTTCGGTTAGCCGAAGGTTTCCTAATAACCCTAATAACGATGTGAGTACTCTAAGTTATACGATAAACTACTTACGATCAGCAGGTAATACCAATGAGATTAAGCACACTTGAATAAAAACCAAAAGTATCAACTTAAATTTGTTTAAAAATTTAAATTTATGACACAAGCAGCTACCTTCATTTATGGAGTAGTTAATATTAATGAATTATTTTTAATACGTATATTACGACTTCCAATGTATATTTCTGTCGAAATAAAATTAACTAGAACTTCAAAAAATAAAGAAAAATCTTCCTCTTTTAGCGTCCCATGCAAAAATTTCGAGAATTTTTAAGGCCATTAAGCCAAATATCTTACATTAATAGTGCCAAATACGATAGGAAAATTACCGAAAATTCCAGATTTATAAAAATTTTTTGGAATCGATAATGGAATTCCTAAAAAATAAATTTCCGAATTCGGGAATCGGGAATTTCCACTGAAAATTTAATTCCAATTTTGTGAAATCGGGATTCCCGTAACAAAAAACGTCGCGATAAGGTTTGAGGGAAATGATTTGAATATTTTATGATGGATAAATAAATAACAAACATTTAAACTACATTTTGTGGTAACAAATGTTTGAAAATAATATTTTTATAAAATAATAAATTATCAAATATATGGATCCAACATAAATTTCGTTATATTTTTTGTCTAAAATTTGAATATGTTTACGTCTTACGTGGCATTTTCCACGTTATTAACATAGTGATAAGAATTTTGTTGAATATTTTTATAAAACAAACATGTTGTTTACACCAACTTCCTCTCTAATTTTGAATGAAAGTTGGGTGAAATTTAGCTTTGATAGTGGAAAATAAATTTTCAAACGTGTGACACGTATTTATTATTTTTATAATAAACATTTTTAAAAAATTAGCTGTATATATGACTCCCCAAATTCAGTCAGAAAAATCGTTTCTTAACAAATTTATTAATAAGAACAGCTCTAAAATGAAGGTAAATTCTCTCTACTTTCATTTTAATCCTGTAAAGCATATAGCTATTTAATTCCTAAGGCTGTGCAGTAGGCAGCGTGGTGTAATGGCTAACACATCAGTCCGATCTAATGAAGATGCTGGTTCGCTCCCAGCCGCCGAATAACCTTTTGCACTAGCTAAAGGAGAGAAATAGCTATAGCCCAGCTGCTTTACTATACCAATAAAAATTAATTAAAGCTGCTACTGTTGGTTTTTATTCAAATGTGCTTAATTGCGTTGGTATTTGCCGATGCTAAACGACGTATGAGTTTAATCTCAAAGAATTTCCAAAAATGTATTATTTATAGCCATATTGCCCATACCATGTGGTAAAGGCTATGATAAATGTCCAGATGGATATATATGCGATTATGATAAATGTGTCGAAGTCCCACCACCGACTACAACAAAGAAGCCAACCCCGCCTAAACCAAGCAAATCCGATATTTGAATATTTAAATAACAGTCATTTTCAGCACAATGTTGTTGGTTTGGTAATCGCTTTGCACACTGTTACGGGTGTATTTATCCGTCAGTATGTTACTCGGGTAAATATTGCCGTATCCCTCCAACACCACCGTCAACAACAACACCCAAACCACCACCTTGTAAGAAAGATTATGATTGTCCAGCTGGTTATAAGTGCCAAAATGATGTTTGTGTTCCTGTTCCTACTAGTACTAATACGCCAACTCCTCCCCCACCAAGTAGAAAAATACTTTATAATTTAAAATGATAATTTAAAATGACTATTTCATTCAGTACAATGTTGTTTTTCTGGAAATCGCTATAAGAACTGTTACTGGTGTCGACCAATATTTACGTGTGTCGATGGTGCATATTGTGAATATGTGCCTTCAACAAATACCCCACAAACACCCAAACCACCTTCCTGTGTTTTGCATAACCACTGTCAAGCTGGATATGAGTGCAAACATGATGTTTGTGTTCCTGTTCCTACTACTACAACAATAACGCCAACCCCATCCAAACCAAGTAGAAAAATACTTGATAATTTAAAATGACTATTTCATTCAGCTTATTGTTGTTTTATTGGAAATCGCTTTATGAATTGTTACCGATGTCAACCATCATTTACGTGTGTCGATGGTGTATATTGTGAATATGTGCCTTCAACAACTACACCAACAACACCCAAACCACCAACTTCCTGTGTTTTGTACAACAACTGTCCGGCAGGATATGAGTGCAAAAATGATGTTTGTGTTCCTGTTCCTACTACTACAACAATAACGCCAACTACATCCGAAACACGCATACAAACATTTATAAATTTAAATTAATATTCTTTTTTCAGCACAATGCTGTTGGAGAGGAAATGGCTTTTCAAATTGTTACTACTGTAATCCACCATTACTATGTTTTCGGGGTCAAAGTTGTGAATATACACCGCCACCAAATACATTCCCACCAGCAACAACACTCCCAACAACACCGCCGACAACACCTGCATCGACAACAACAACAACTCCCACACTACCACCACTATCGCCCACACCAATTCCCTGTGAAAAATGGTGTCACCCGCCATTCAAATGCTACGGGGACATATGTGTAGCCCCACCGACTATACCAGATACACCATCAACAACTCCTAAACCAAAACCATGTGATGAGTATAACCCCTGTTCACCTGGATATAAATGCGATGATGATGTCTGTGTTCTTGTGCCTACTACTACAACAATAACGCCAACTACATCCGAAACACGCATACAAACTTTCATAAATGTAAATTAATTTTCTTTTTTCAGCACAATGTTGTTGGAGAGGAAACGGCTTTTCAAATTGTTACAACTGTGCCTCACCATTACTATGTTTTAGGGGTCAACGTTGTGAATATACACCGCCACCAAATACATTCCCACCAGCAACAACACTACAACCAACACCGCCAACAACACCACAACCAACACCACAACCAACACCCCCAACAACACCTCCACCGACAACAACTCCACCAACGACACCACCGACGACAACACCACAACCAACACCACCGACGACAACACCACAACCAACAGCGCCAACAACACCACCACAAACAACACCACCAACGACAACAACGCCAACATACCAACCCCCACCCTGTCATAATGGAAAATGTTCCAAAGGATTTAAATGCGTGCATGGTTTCTGTCTTCCAAATTATTAAAATGAAATGAAGTGATATGTAAAAATGTTGAGATAACTGAGAAAAATTTTATGGTGCTTTCGTTTATCTCCATACATGTCGTTACTCGATTTATAATTAAATACTTATAAAATGTTAATGTAAACGAATGGATAAATTATATTATACCGTATTTCCTCTATTAGAATGCCATGGCATTCTATTTTTCAATCACCTCAAAAGGTGGAATTCTATTAGAGGTTTGCATTCAAATAGAGCATGCATTATGTAAATAGAAGATGGCATTGTATTTTACGATGAGAAAATTTCAAAATTTGGATTATTTTTGGTTAATTTTGGAGATAAAGGTGATTTTAAAGATCTGAAGGTGAGGTTATAGTTATGTGGAGGGTGTTTTTTGAAAAAGATGATAAAAAAATTTTTAACGAAAACTTTTTCGATTTCTCGGGTATATGAATTGTTACCTGCTTTAATTAATATAAAATAAAAATCAGCCCGATTGATTCGGTAGAAGTTAAGAAATTTGAAAATGTGGAGCAGTGTATATTAAAATCGGTCGAAATTTTTACAAAAAATGTTGTATAATTAAGAATCGAATACTTTCGAAAAGTATACTTACCGAAAAATTCGTAAAAAAGTTAGGCGAATCCTCGTAATTGAGAAAACTGAGCCCTCCATCCGAATACAACTGCCAGGGAGGACATAGGTTATTTGTCATTATGTACATAATGTTGTTGACTCAACCTCTCCTGCTCGCCTGGCAGACGAGCTAAGCTCGAATTCCATACACCTCCAAGAGATGCATCATAAGAGACGATTATGCCAGGGGTTGCAGCCAGTATCACAAAATGTTCTACGGCGTCTTCCCCCTCCTAGAGCAGGAAACGGCGGCCAGTTGATTCGCACCTGTGCGCCCATATTTGTTCAAGTTATATAATAGGTGGATCTTATTTAGACAAATATTAGATGGGTTGTAATCAATAAAAGGAAAGTAACCGTGATAAGTCTGAAGAGCACGGTCACTACAAAAAATGAGCAAAAAGCACTCTTTTGATATTTTTAAGGTTTTCCTATAGGTAATCGACCATGCTGAGTCCGAATCTGGCTTCAAATTTAAGTTATTTCGAATCCCGGAACCGAATCCGACAAAGGCAGATTCTGGTTAAAATTTCAAAATTCAAATTTTGAGTTAATCTGACATGACTATTGAAGAGATAGAACCAAACAAAATATTAAACGTCGGAAAATCAAATATTTGATCAAATTTCATTTTATTTTTTGATCTCCAAAAAACCCGACCCAATATCATTTCACAACCTCAAACGTCAAAGTTTACAGTTTTTATGTTTAAACAATACTAGCAAATAAGATAATAAAATGTTGATAAATATAATTTGTCATAAGACAAACATGTAAATAATGTTAAAAATAGAGTTCCGCTTTTACTTTTTAGGAAAATTTGTTTTTTATCTTTAACTAAACGAGGTTGTTTTGACAATTTTATCACTTGATTGAAAATAATTTTTAAAAAGTTTTATTTAAAATAAAGAATTTTAATGTGCGACGTATGTTAACTTTATTGATAAGCATTTAATGATGCTAATACGTTATATTTTATAAAAGCCAATGAATTCTATACGAATAAATCAGTCTAAAATAATTCTTTAATATTTACTCTGAAAATGAAGGTAAATAATAGGGTTGTTCACTACCGGTTATAACCGCCGTGTCCGGACAATGCGTCATTGGCCGGACAATGTGTCAGTGGAAAATCGGTCTGAAATATGTATATTGGAGAATTATGAGACATAAGTGTAACTGACGCATTGTCCGCCCACTTACGCATTGTCAAATAACCTATAGTCCAATGACATATTATACACTAATTATGGAACATACAGTCTAATGATATGTTGATGACACATCCACCGACAATGTGTCATTGTCCGTAGCTTTAACGGGTACCCCCGGTTTTCGGTTAATCCGAATTTTAAACCCGGTTTTCGATTTAGAGTTTTAGTAAAATACCTATTTTGGAGGAATTTATTTAAAAATCTCTTATTTTCATAGATTTCCGGTTTTCGGTTCTTTGAATTTAATAAAGACGGTTAATTTTGTCCGATTTTAAAACCGGTCGCGAACACCCCTAGTAAACACCTTGACCATTCATAATGATTTTTAACAATTTTAGTTGATGATACTGTTGGTTTTTATTCAAATGTGCTCAATCGCTATGGTATTATCCGACGGAATAATATAAATAAATTAATTATAGCCATAAAGCGGCCAATTTGTGGTTTTATTAACACCTGCCCACCTGGATATATTTGTAAAATTAATGTCTGCGTCCCAGACACACGTAAACCTAGCATATCTCTAAATTTAAAATAATTTTCAGGACGTTGTTGTTACCCAGGAAATCGCTGGCAAATTTGTTTAACCTGTTTCCCACCATTCACGTGTGTTCAGGGTAAATATTGTAAATATGTGCCTCCACCCACAAAACCAACATCAACGACAACAACAACCCCAGAACCCCCAACAACCTCCAAACTATCAACTCCCTGTGATAAGTATAACCCCTGTCTACCTGGATATAAATGCGATTATGGTGTTTGTGTTGAAGATTATTAGAAAACTGTTAAATGAGATGATATGTAAATATTGAGATAATAAAATTGGAAAATTTGTAAAAAATTCATAATTATAATATTGGATAAAATGTTTAAATAAATGAATATTTTATTTATATAGAAATGTTTATTTACAGTGGCAGCAATTTAGTAAGAAAAGGGTAAACTCGATGTAATTCCGTTCATCTTTATCCGATCTGACAGATCTTAATGTTAAAAAATAGCTTAATTTCTATCTCACTTGACATGTTTCAGCGTTTTTCAAAATTCTAATATTTTCTACAACTTTTCGACCGGTCTAACAGGTACTACATTTTCGACTTTTCGGAGAAATTTTTTTGAAGTCTGTAAAAATTATATGTGATTCTCCTATAGATTCTGAATACAATGCAAAAAACCGCATCCAAATCGGTTGAGATTCTACCGAACTAAGTTGCCGCCACTGTATATAAAAATTCATATAGTTGGTCTTTATTCAATTGTGCGTAATCGCGTTGTATTAACTGAAGAAAATGGTAACAACAAAGAAATACTGGCCTTTTTCAGATAACGTGTCCAAATGTTGGACGTAAAATTTTGAAAATTTTTATAAAAATCGTATCTTCCTTAAAAAACATTAAAAATAGTTTACAACCTATTTTTGTTTCAAAACGCCGACTTTTAGCGCAGGCAAAAATTTTAAAAATTATCAAATTCCAAATAGATTTTTTTCGCTTAAAATAAAATAAAACTTAAAATTTTCATCGTTCGGTATTATCGGTATTTTGTTTTTTCGCGTTCCGTAGAACGGTACGGAATACCGAGTTGGATTTTTCTGGATACCGAGGTGGAAAATCATTGATAATATTATTTAGGGGATTTGAGTAGATTAAGGGGGATATTATATGATGTCAGGCGATTAAAGAAATATCAAGGGATTACGTGGGATTAATATCAAGGGTTTACCATTTTGAGCCTACGAATAAATAGGGTGGATGTGTATCTGTCGCGTGACCCTTCTTATTGTCAATTTCAACCCAATACTATCACTTCTAAAACGTGAGCAGGTTTACAGACTAACACAACCTCAAACGTCAAAGTTTTAAGTTTTTATGTTTAAACAATACTAACAAACAAAGTAATAAAATGTTGGTGAATATAATTTGTCATAAAACAAACATGTAAATAAAATTAAAAATAGAGTTCCTCTTTAATTTTTTAGGAAAATTTGTTTTCAATTTTAACTATTCGTGTTTATCACAGAAGTTTTATCAAAATAATATTGAAAATATTTTTTTGTAAATTAATGGAATTTTAGATCAAAGCCACGTATTGACAAGAAATTAAAGAAATAATATAAGCAAATACGTGTATTTATAAAAGTCAGTGAATTCTTTCAAATTTTACAGCCTTTAAAATTAATTCCTTAATATTAACTATTCCAAATATGAAGGTAAATACACTAGCCTTCGTTTAAATTTTATTATCGTTTAGATGATACTGTTGGTTTTTATTCAAATGTGCTTGACATCGTTGGTATTATCTGATGCCAAAATACGTATATCTAACTCTAATTTAAATAGATTTCCGAAAATTTGAAAATTATAGCCATAAAGCGGCAAACTTGTGATTATTACCACCCTTGTCCAAGTGGATTTACTTGCAAAATTGATGTTTGCATCCCAACACCAAGCAAACTAATATCTTTATATCTAAGCTAATTTTCTTTTCAGGACGTTGTTGTTACCCAGGAAATCCTTTTACAACAATTTGTTACCACTGTTTCCCACCGTACACTTGTATCAAGGGCAGATACTGTAAACTTGTGCCTACACCCACACCAACAAATCCACCGACAACCCCAACATCTCCCACACCACCCGCACCATCGCCCACCCCAATTCCTTGTGAAAAATGGTGCCGGCCACCATTTAGATGTTACGGTGGCATATGTGTAGCACCACCGACTATACCAGATACACCATCAACAACCCCAACCCCGATTACCTGCGAAAAAAGGTGTCCAAAACCATGGAGATGTTTTGGGGATACATGTGTAGCCCCACCGACTCGACCAGAAACACCATCTACAACTCCGAAACCAACTTCCTGTGATAAGTATAACAAGTGTCCACCCGGATATAAATGTGAGTATGAAGTCTGCATCCCTGTCCCTACGACAACTACAACAAAGGAACCGACCACAACCAAAAAATGCAAGAAATTGTTTGAAATTTTGTTAATCTTTAAAATTCAGACGAGTGTTGTCACATCGGAAATGCCTTTAAAGATTGTTACTGGTGTCGCGGACCATACAGATGTGCTGGAGGAAATTATTGTCAATATGTTCCTCCACCAACACAACTTCCACTAACACAACCTCCCACAACTCGACCAGAAACACCATCAACAACTCCGAAACCAACTTCCTGTGATAAGTATAACAAGTGTCCACCCGGATATAAATGTGAGTATGAAGTCTGCATCCCTGTCCCTACGTTAACTACAACAGTGGAACCGACCACAACCAAAAAATGCAAGAAATTGTTTGAAACTTTGTTAATCTTTAAAATTCAGACGAGTGTTGTTACATCGGAAATGCCTTTAAAGATTGTTACTGGTGTCGCGGACCATACAGATGTGCAGAAGGCAATTATTGTAAATATGTTCCTCCACCAACACAACTTCCACCAACACAACCTCCACCAACACAACCTCCCATAACAACACAACCTCCAACTACAACACCTTCAGCAGATTGTGATAAGTATGGCAACTGTCCAGAGAATTAAAAGTCTGAGAATGATGTTTGTGTAAAACTTGTATCCAGATGTTGTTAATTTGTCTAAACATGACAGTTTATTATTTGAAGTAATACATGATACATATATTGTGATAATAATACTGATAAAGCATAATATTTATATTAACTAACTTTTAGTTATTTGTGGGTCAAGTGTAAATTATAATTAGACTGCTTCAACATGCAAAAGGTTCATCGTATTAGGGAGGTAGCTCTATATTCCCATAAATTTTTTATGTGAATGTAGAGATAAATTTTTATAGAACTAAAAATATAAAATATTTTATGTAATATAGATGTATAGAATATGTAGAGAAATATAGATGTAATATAGATTGTCATAAAAAATAAAATTATCGCCATGTTTTGATACGTGAACACAAAGACGAATATAACAATCCCAACTTGATTAACAATCCGAATTTGAAATCTGTCTGAAAGGGGGTGGGGAATATTGAAGGAGAGAATTTCATTACAAAAAAAAATTGCCTGATTTTAAAACATGACGTTACCATAATCATTATTAGCAAACAAAACAATAAAATGTTGTTGAATAAAATTTGTCACTAAATAAAATTTTTAAATTTTTTATAAAAATTGTATTGTAATTTTGACTAAACATTTGTTGTTTAGAGAATTTTATTACACAAATTTACATATTACGTGATTATTTCTTCAAAAATAAAAAAATTTTCGGACCAAATCCACGTAATTATTATTTTCCTTTGTAAACATTTAAAGAAAGATTAAACTAATACGAATATCTATAAAGCCCGTGAATTTAGTCAACATCTATCAGTCTATAAAGTAATTCTTTAATAATAACTACCCCAAGAATGAAGGTAAATACGTGTAGTCTTCATTTTAATTCCTCAAATTTTAGTTGATACTTTTGGTTTTTATTCAAATGTGCTTAATTCTGTTGGTAGCATCTAGAATTCGTTAGTTTAATAATGAAATAATATTTGATATATTATTGTAGAGAATATACATATGTAGCTATTTAATTCCTAAAGCTATGCAGGAGGGTATAATGGATATCATATCATATACTGTCAACTGTATATTAATGATGCTCGGGAGAAGAAAAAACCCGTAAATCAGGAAACGGGAGTTGGGTCGGGAAATGACCTCGGGAGTCGGGATTTTACACTAAAAAATTTTGGCGCCTTTGGCGCAAATTCTTGGGAAATTTTCCCGAGTCGGGAGTCGTGATCGGGATACCCAAGCATCAATACTGTATATGCTTGTTAGTCCCAGAGGCTAAATTAACTTTTGCATTAGTAAAGGAGAAATAACTATTACCTAGCTTATCTTTACTTTATCAAAATTTATTAATTACAGCCCCACCTTGTGGTAAATATGTTAAATGCCCAACTGGATTTATTTGCAAAAATGGTTATTGTCTTCGTATTCCACCTACTACAACGAAAACCCCTATTACACGCAAACGATGCAAACCTAGACGATCAAAACCGACAACAACAACAACGGAACCAGATCCTTATGATTAATCTGGCAGTTGTCTACCTGGATGAGTTGATAAAAAATAATTATGGATGATTTACTTCTTGATTATCTAATTTCGGACGTCGCATGAAATACCACTTTAAACTGATATAATATCAAAAATCCCACTTAAATAAATAATTGGCATACTACTTGCTTAATTTTCCCAGCCATTTCACTATCTTTTTTTATTTATCGCTATTTCCTTTGACTCATCCTATTCAAAGGATAATCCTATTCAAAGATCGAAGCCACACGTCGGTGTGGCTTTTTAATGTTATTAGCTATCATCTGGTCAACCGAATAGCTATTCTTAGGGGATATAATGGTAAAATGATGATAGGACCGTAACGTACTACTTAAGTTATTTATTGGTATTTATAGATAGAACCCGAACTATAGTGTGGTACAAGAACAGAGATCTCGATAAAATCTCGATCTCAATAACCGAGATTTTTAAACGAGATCTCGTCTCAGTCCGGGCCCAATTATAAATATTAAGTATCGGATGGCATGAATAAACTAAAATACCTTCAATACGGTTGTTATTACACCCCGGTCGGTATTACAGAACAGAATAATGAATGGTACATAATTCAAATCTCTATTAAGATGTGCCTCAGTAAATTTGAAAGAATGGTCCCAGCATGATCCCACTTAACTTAAGCTAATAAAAGTCTTTTAAATTTTAATTAAATAAATTGTTAATATTCAAAAATTTAATATTGATCATTTAATTTTAATTTTTACCCTCGCCCGCCGCCACTTTCAATTTTAAAACTGCCAAAAAAAATTTTTTTATAAAAATTATTTATTCAGCATTAAAATTAAATTCCCTGGGACCATCGAGGAACTAAAAAATTCTATTTAATAAAATTTATAAAGAAAATTGTCTAGCTCCCTCCGAGTACTATATCTCCTTTTTTGGACATTTTAAATTATAAAATAAATTTTTATCTTTAAAATTTGCCAAAATTTATCTTTAAAAAGTTTGGTTAGCGGGTATCTCAAGGAAGAAAATTTTAAAAAATTCTCTCGTTAGCGCGAAAAAAATTTTTATTTGATTTCTCTCACTCCTCTCTCACGTGGATTAATGATGGTGGAGTAGACGGGTTTAATCCACGTTTCAGCATACACGCTTGATAGGCTTAAAATCATTCTTCATATATAATCCACAACGGTTAAGGGATGATTATCACATCCAAGTTTTATTTTAAAAAATTTTTTATTCTAATGTAAAGTTAAAGCAGTAATTATAAAAAAATTTATCATGCTACCTTTCAATGCGTAATTTTAGTCTAAAAGGGATGTTCTCTATATCTCTCTTTCATAGTCCGAGGGAGACCTGCCATCTTAATACTTATTCCTAGACCGAAGAGGATATGTTCCATCATGGTACGAATGGGACATTCTACCTTTCAAGCTTATTCCTAGTCAGTAGGGTTTCTATCCATCCTAGGTACTTCCTAATCCGAATGGGCATGTTCACTTCAGCCTATTTGTGTCCGAAGAGGATCAGGATTAATACAAAAGGCTCATGTTCCTATTCGACTGTGGCTTAAAATCGTTTGGGCTTTCAAACTTCCAAGCCACTTTCCTTGTTCGACAGAGACATATGTTCTCTTCAGCCTACCGTATGAACGACATAATATAATTTGAATTGCAGGGAATAAATTTTAAAAGGATGCATCTTTCTTCTATTCTTATCATCCTTCCAATACTATTTTCTTCCATCCTGGCCCAACAAATACCGAATTGCCAAACAAGAATATTCCAATGCGATGCTGACTGGCAGACTCGTACTGATCCAAATACAGGAGACGTTTATGGCTATAAGGCTTTTATTCAGAATAAAATGAATTTTTATGAGGTCATTCATAACAACAAAAATTCCCAAAATTATATTAACCCTTCAATTTAGGCCGACGTATTCTGTAGAGCTCGATGCGCAGAGGTAGTCAGCATCCACAGCCAAGAGGAACAAGATTTTGTTAGACGTATTACCGCTCCAGTGCTTAACCGTTGTCAATTCACTTCGGCTTGCACACCTGTTGTACAATCAACTGACCCAACGTTCAATCGTCAACTTCGTTCATTTTGGATTGGATTGAATCGTGTCACAGGGACTCTTAAGGATGCCCATTCAGTTGATAACAGTGTCTATCAATTGTGGTCCGACCGTACCGAAGTTGGCTTTGGATCTTTCCCTAATAATTCGGTGACTTCAAGTACCAACAGTCCTCCTTGGACTCGTGGAAATCCATTTGGAGTGAAATCAGGTTATTTATTATTACCATAAAATAAGTAGTGTTAAGTACAGATACCCCTTCTTGTGGTTCCCGACGGTTCTAAAATAGTGATGGCTCTGGAACAGGGTAAAAATTGTCTCGAGCCACATTACTGAAAAAAACTGTCTATTCGAAAGAGACTCTTCAACTTAAGTTATAGGCCGAACGGGCCATGTTCTGTCAAGACTATTTTCTTGTCAAACCGGGTCTTGTTCCCTTCAGCTTACTTTATATCTCGAAAGGAGCACATGCTATCTCTACAGCCTACTTCACCGTTTGAACGGGATATTCTCTCCTAGGTTTAAACTCTTTTTGGCAGAACCTAAATCTAACAATAAAGTTGTTAATTCCAACCTTATAAAAGAACAGAAAAAGATATTAATAAATTATAGATGACCGACAAGTCATTGAGGATTGTACTCAGATGGTCGAGAGCCGACAAGGTGGATGGAACGACTTCCCATGCAACTGGCGCATCAGTGGAGTTATTTGCAAGCGTAAATGCACTTCATACTGTGCTGCTCAAGATGTCTGAATAAAAATGATGTAATAAAAGAATGGTGGAATGATAAAATGATTTAAAAGACTTTATAATGTAATTTCTTTTCCGGAAATTTAAAAAAATTTAAAATATCCTTTATGGCATTTAACTAAAATAAATATTTTCACATTTCTTTATCAATTTAATTAAAGAATAATCAGTTAAGATCTGCTCTCTCTTTAACAAGGTATACTGTAACAAGTCAGATTTCTATTGGCATGTTTTGACTTCTATCAAAATCTTCCTTGATATGCCTACCAAATTCAGTCTCTAGTTGTGAAATTTAGTTAAACTAGTGATTATTCATAAGTTTCTCTCATAGAATAAAACTATTTATGACCAGAACGACAGTACAGTTGTGAAATAACACTAGATTTCCGTAAATGAATATATGATAATCACCTGATTCTATGATTATCTTCGGTGACAACAGAGTGATTTTTTAAATTAA